AATACTTAGGAAAAACATGCCCAAAAACTTAACAGCTGGATAGTTTCTGAAATTTATGTAGCTACAAATTTTGCTTACATTTTATTGTCACAATTTTTGTACTAGTCAAACTACAAGCACTGAATTAAAAGCATCAAATTATAACCATAAATTCCTTCTTGTTGCTTTGGGTTTATTCCCCCTAATCTACATTGAAATAAGATGTCTGAAGCAAGAAAATCTTTAAAGCAGGTTTATGAAGGCTCTACTGACTTTCCTTACCAGACACATACAAAGACCAGAGAAACCAGAGTATTTTAAATTCTGCAGAAGTTGCTGTACTACCCTTTTGTCCAAGGACAGTTTTTAGATGAGCTGTCACAAACTGCAGATAAGTACAGATTTCCCAAGATGAGCCCCATCACTTACAGTGACCAGGTCCAGTGGCGTTTGTCCTTCTTGGTTTTTCAGAGTGGGATCAGCCCCATGTGCCAGTAACAAGGCACAAAGCTGAGTCCTTCCTTTCTGGGCTGCTTCATGGAGAGGTGTGAAAGCCCATTTGTCCGTGGCATTCACACATGCATTATACTTTATAAGTAAAGCTGCTACATCAACATGCTGGAAAAATAAAAATACCTGTTAAATTCCAAGGTACCACAGTGCATTAAAGTAACTCATAACTATTACTGACACGTCTCTGTAATCAGAGCTATTCTGATTTTTCTTAGAATACATTTAATTATGATTTCAAAAAGTATTACAACAAGGTGTTTCCTCCCTCACTTATAACACACCAGCAAAAAGTTAAGATTTGTTCTCTTGTGAAAAAAGGACAGAGTAATACAGAATCCCAAATCAAGGGGAATCTGAAGGAAAGCAAGCCTGATTTTAAAATTCCAGTTTATAAAATACTCCAGCTGTTTTGGTTAAAGTCTTGATTAAAGCACAAAGATTCAAGTTCAAAAAAACAACTGCTGTCTCAACAGCAGCCATATAAGTGAAAGTGAGATCTTGCTGATAAAATTCAAGTGGCACAGGTAAGGAAAGGCATTTTATAGAACACCTTTAAAACTGCTGGTTTCCTAGGTATTCAGGTTCAGAAAACTCAGTTCTGTAACCTGCATTCATGATTTTACAAATTCCTAAGTCTTCACCAATGAGCTATGATCAAATTATCGATTTTGTCTTTTATAAGATTACATTATAACTCGATAGCAAAAGCATTCTACAAAGTATTGGCTCACAATGCTGTCACTGAAATGTATCACTTTTTTCAATAAATAAAATCTAAGAAAGTTTGAGATATTTACCCCATAGGATGCTGCATTATGCAGAGGAATCAAACCTCCTTTATCCTGTGCATTCACATCTGCTCCATGCTGTAACAGGTACTCTGCAACCTCCAAATTGTTGTAACCAGCTGGAAGGTTGCAGAAGGACAGAAGAAACAGAATAAGAAAACACCCCCAACAGGCCATAGAGAGGCAGTACCTCACTTAAATTACCTGAAAGTTAGTTAATATGTCAGTCCCAGTGAGAACAGTATATTACTTAATACTGAGGACACTTTAACCCTAATTAAGAGTATTTGGTTTTAAAACCCATCAATAAACAATAGAAGATCTTTTTCGGCTAGAGAGAACACAAAATTAAAGTAAGCAAACGGTTGGAGGAGCAATGTAAGATTAATATGCCTGAAATACTAATTTTTCAAAAGAGAAAATACTGAATCCTCTAGCTTTGAGGCTACACTTTAAACTTGCTCAGACATAGAAGTTCAGCCACAGTATTTAGTAACTGATCAAACCAGTTAATTAGAACACTGACCTGCTAAATGTAGTGGTGTTGAATGTCGTCCTTGCGTGTCCCGACAGTTGACATTGTCAGGTGAACACAGCTTTTTTACTCGGGCCAAACAACCTTTCTTTGCAGCATCTAGTAGAGCTGCATCTCCTCTAAGTAGGTCTTGAATATCAGTATCACCATCTTTAACAAGGTCTAGAGGAGTATTTCCATCTCTGTTTTTCTTCGTGGGGTCAGCTCCATGCTGTGCACATCAAAAACAGGTGGGAAATATGTCAGTACAACAAACATGCTGCATCTTAAGCATCTTACATCTTACTGAGCAAATATTCTGACATACGCTGGAATCCTTCAAAGAGCCTTCCATTTACTGTGTGAGAAAGGACAATATAGTTGCTAATAGTATCCCTTTTACTGAAAACACTGAGCTATAATCATTTAGAAACCACAAAGCACAAATCATTTTTCAAAGATGTCCATTTACATTTCAGAGGGAACAAGAAAGAAAAGAAAGCAACCTTTCTCCAGCATGTGTTATACCTGTAACAGGAGTTTGCAAATCTCGTATTTTCCTTTTGCTGCAGCTTCGTGCAAAGGAGTGAATTTCCACAAGTCAGCTACGTTGACAACGGCACCATGTTTAACCAGCAGTTCTGCAACTTCATAGTGACCATATGAACAAGCATTATGTAACGGGACAAGTCCTCTGGAAACAATTAAAAGAAAAGAAAAATTCTCTTTGAAAATAGGGTATTTTTTCACTCAGTGATATAAACTTAAAACACAATGCACCTTCAACAATGAAACCATAACAAAAACTTCGTTATCCCCCCTTGTAGTCTAATACAGTAGGAGTACCTACTGCCAAAGCAGTGAAAATGCAATCAGCAGCAGCACTGAAGAGGAGCAAAAAGACAGGACCAGAGAAACCCTTGACACTCTAGGCCCAGGTACTGCTAAATGCTTTTGGATATTATGAACATCATCATTCTAACAGAAGGTTCCATGAAAATAAAAAAATAAAATGTCTGAAGAAAGATGGCACGTTTATCAGTTAGCAATGTTCAAAAGCTGACAGATATTACCAACTACAATTGCCAAGAAAAATATACATTCAAGCACTTACCCCTTATCTTTTGCATGCACATCAGCTCCATGCTGAAGAAGATACTCCACAACAGATACTCTGTTATATCCAGCAGCAAAATGAAGTGGTGTAGACTGACGCCCCTCAATATCTCTGCAGTTCACACTCTGAACAGTACATAGCTTCTGTGAATTTCCCAAAATAAAACATATGTTACTAATTATGTAGTGTTGGAACTTTTAATTTAGTCACAGTATGTTGTTATACACATCTAATTTTGAATAACTGTTTTTATTAAAAAGAAAGTTTTAAATTTATTTTTATGTAAAGTCTTTACTTTTCATTAATTGTGTCCTAAGAAAAAAATCCACCTGCTCCCAAATCCACACCTGTGACTTATTTATGTTTTTTATATAGGGCAAACATCTGGAGGTGGTGAATATTATAGTCTGTCATCTATAAGAACTGTACAATATAAAGGTCTTAGGACAGGGATCACAACTCTAAAGCAGTCAGAGAAGAGCTGTTTGATTGCCTGCTTTGAGAAATTATAGACTGAGATATAATTCTGTGCCAGTTTTGGTTGTAGTGGAGTAATTTTTTTTTCACAGTGGTTGGTACGGGGCTGTGTTTTGGATTTGTGCTGAACACAGGACTGAAAATGTAGAGATGTTGTTACTGTTGAGCAAGGTTTACACAGAGCCAAGGCCTTTTTGTGCTGCCACACCAGTGAGGAGGCTGAAAGTGTGTAGGAAGTTGGGCAGAGACACAGCTGGGACAAGTGACCCAAACTGACCAAAGGGATATTCCAGACCATGTGGCATCATGCCCAGCAGCGGAAAACAGAGGAAGGGGGGACATTTGGAATGATGGTGTTTGTGTTCCCAGTGTGATGGGGCTCTGCTCTCCTGGAGATGGCTGAAGACCTGCCTGCCCATGGGAAGCAGTGAATTAATTCCTTGTTTTGCTTCGCTTGTGCGTGCAGCTTTTGCTTTCCCTATTAAACTCTCTTTATCTCAACCCACAAGTTTTCCAGCTTTCACCCTTCTGATTGTTTCCCCAGTCCCACAGGTGGGGCAGTAAGCGAGCAGCTGTGTGGGGCTTGGTTGCTGGCTGGGGTTAAATCATGACAAATTCTCTTATTTTTAAGTACAGGTTTAAGCTTACTTTTACAGTATCCACATCTCCAGCCTTTGCAGCCTCCAGCAACTGTCGATCTGCATCAGAATTACCTAATGGGATCCCTTCTGCAAAATAAATGAGGTTGCATGACAGGTAAGTGTAGACCATTGAAAGGATTTGTTAAGATAGGAAATCATTTGAGTTTTTTAAGGCAAATCCTTGAAATAAAGTTAACCAATTACAGACAGGTTTTGTCTTTGCTTACTATTTACAACTATAGTTGACAGAGCTAACAGTATTGCAAAGTTGTCTTTAGCAACATGCTTCTTATCTGTTTTGAAGTACTGTGGAACCATTCTTATTTTATTTTCAGAATTAGACTATATCAAGTTTACCTACATGTATAATGCCCAAACCTTACCCTTGAAAATCCTTGTACACTGTTGCCTCTGCCCACAGATGCAAAGAAGACAATTTTGCTTTGGAAATTAATTTTCAAAATTCCCACCACATTACGTCAGAATTTTTCTAAAATTATTTCAGGTGGCTATGCCACAAACATTCAGAGCATCTCTGACAAT